TCTAATCCTTAATTCTTATTTTGTGTGAAAACGGTATGAAAGTATTTTTAGTAAAAATATATTAAAATATTACAAATATATACACAAAAGCAGTGAAATGACATGTTTCAATAACAAAATGAAGTTTTCAAAATGTATCATTTAACTCAGGAGTGGTTAAAGTTGAAATCAGGATTAAGCATAAAATAATATCTACAGAATTATTATGAATCACATGAAAATCAGCTGAGAATTGAACATAGTTGTAACCTGGCTCTGAGGAAAACAGGAATCATGTCTTTGTGGCAGTTTTTCTGGTGATTAAGGTATAGTATAAGACAACTCTTATATTTTGTGAGAAATTGTTACACTGTCGAGCAAAACAGAGACTATTTTTGGAATCGGCACCCCAAAATTATTAAGAAACAAGTATTGGATTTCCTTCAGTAAATATGATGCAGGGCGGTGTTATTTCACACTGAATAAATACACACATCACATTATTGAAATTGCTCTGATGGTAGGAAGATTCCTCATTTATGTTAATAATAATTAAATTGAAATAAAAAAGCCCTAATAAATATATCTAGTACAGATAAAGTATCAAGTCTAAGATGATTTTCCTGTAGTTGTTGGTCTATTTTAGGTGGTCTGGCCTGTCATTGGAGAAATAAACTCACCTGAGCGGCATGAAAGCTCTTGCGTGTTCAGGTTTTGCTCTCCTCCCTGTGTTTCTCTGATCACACTGTTCCTTTGCACTTTGGACAGCTCACACTATGAACGCACACAGACAACAACGACTTTCACCCTCTGGTCTTTAAACATGGATTTTTACCCCCCCTCTTATCGTACAGACAAACGTAAACATCAAAGAGGCGTCTTACTTTCTTAACGCTCCATGCAGGTCTGAAAAAAGACAAGAAACGGTGAAGTGTCAGTCAAAATCATCTTAAGGAGCTGTAGTATCTGTATTTTTTTTCTCGCTCCATCTCTCTCGTAGCAGGACAATGTGCATAAAAGGGGACTCAAATCTAAGGTTGCTCCGCTCAGCGGGAATCTAATATTAGCGCAGCACATTTCCCAAACTGAAACTCTAGCACTTGTCTCAAATTGCTGAAAGCACAGCAATGGGCCATTTGCTTAAACCATTACAGGACTGCAAACTGCAGCCAGAGTGCAGAAATGAGACACAGACGAGCTAAATTTAGGAGGGGAAAGAGAGAAGCTCAGGTGTGGCTGCCGGTGAAAGTGCCTGGCCTGGACGAATGGGACAGAAGGACACAGCTTTTACCCCGTACTTAAATTGTGAAGTGGCTCGAAAGGTTAAACATTTACTTGTACTCCATTTACAGCACTGCTAACATATTTTTACAGAGATCAAGCTCCATAGGACACCTGATCTAGGAGAATATAGATTATAAAAAATGGAGAAAAATATTTAGGAAAACTTTTAGAGAAGCAACAAATAAAATAAACCGGTGTTGATGTGATATGTGTGGCTAAACTAATGTTGCATGCAATAAAAAAATAAAAAAATTAAATAAAATAGTGTTGATCTGTGTGGCTGATCTATTGTAGAGTGCCATAAAATAAAATAAATAATGATTTAAAAAAGTAAATTAAAAATAAAATTTAATATTGTTGACCTGATATGTGTGGCTGACCTATTGTAGAGAGCAATAAAATCAAATGATGAATAAAAAATAAAAAAGTAAATTAAAAATTAAAAAATATTGTTGACTTGATCTGTGTGACTGAATTAATAAAGTGTGCAATGAAAAAATAAAAATATATATTGTTGACCTGATCTTTGTGGCTAAAATAATGAACCTTCCACTTTAAAATAAATAATTAAAACACAAACAAACTAATAAATAAAGTTGACCTGATCTGTGTGGCTAATGTAGCAGGTCTGAATACTTTCCGTACCCACTGTATATATATATATAAAAAACATATAAATAAATAAATACAATTAAATAAAATAAAATATTGTTGACCTAATCTGTGTGGCAAACCTATTGTAAAGTACTAAAAAAATTCTGAATAAAAAAGGTGAATTAAAAATCAAATCAAATCAAATAGTGTTGACCTGATCTGTGTAGCTGAACTGAAGCGTGCAATAAAATAAGTAAAGTTGACCTGATCTGTGTGGCAGAAGTAATGTAGCGTTCATGTGCAGTGTGCACTCACTGTCTGTGTGTTCTGCAGATGTGTCTCAGTTTCTCCTGGTGTTCAGCATCCAGGTCACTGTCTCTGTCTTCTGGACCGTCCTGACACTGGCCAACCAAACTCCATCTCCTCTCTGATCACAGAAAGACCAGGTTAAAAGGTGTTCCATCACGTACCACCTCTGGGTAACAGTTTCCCAGAATCCACTTACCCCACTGCTTCTGTAGGGCGGCGAGGTTAGACAGCAGACGTTCGTGATAGAGTCTCTCTAACTGTATGAACCTGACTGCTCTCTCATCTGCAAAATGCTCTGGTTAAGGAAAATCTACAGGAAGCGGGAGACCCCAAAGCACCAATGCACTTTACAACACCGAAAATAAAGAATGCCACAGTGAAATACTATCATATAAGATGATGACTGGCTGCAGTAATGCACTGAATGTAATACAATAAACAGCTCTATATCCATAAACATTGTGAGCATCCCTGATTCTGTTACAATAACAAAGGCAATGGGGTTTAAAATAGGAGCTATAATGGAACAAGCGTCAATACAACACAAAAGGCTGTTCAAACACACCATTACACAGAGCTCTATTTTTTAATATAATTGAGAAAACAATAATATTAAGGATACAGTCCTCCTCACGCACATATGACTCTGCAATCTGTAAAGAAGAGAGTTTAGCCTGGAGTTATTATGTATTACATTACACAATGAAAAGCATCATTAGGTAACACTGTACAATAGCTCTAAATCATAATGTATTGCATTATATAATACAGGTCATTAATTAAAGTACATTTAAAATGTGATTTATGTATCATATGTGACCCTGTAATGGCTAAAACTAAATTAAAACTGTAATGGCTAAAACTAATAAGTACTGTAATGGATAAAACTAAATTAAAACAAATACAAATAAAAATAAGAAAAGCACTACCAAATTAATAAAACTTAACCTAAAATAAAAATGAAAACTGAAAATATTAAAATAAAATCTTAACATGTGATATAACCGTATCGAAATAATACTAAAATAACTAATAAAATATAAATAAAACATAAATAAAAAGGTAATTGTGACTTTTTAACTCTTAATTCTGACTTCTAGTTTTTTGCAATTCTGAGTGTATATCTCACAATTTTGATTTTTGATTCTCTCTGAAGTTTACATCTTTCTCTCTCTTTTTTCTGCCATGGAATAAAAAATGAAAAGGGTAGTTTTTCACAATTCGGACTTTTCTTCTCAGAATTGCGAATTAATATCTTGCAGTTCTGAAGGGGGAAAAGATACAATAGCCTTTTTTTTTTTTTTTTATACAATGGTGGACATATGCTTCCGTGTATATATATATAATCATAAAAAAATTGTCTACTATAAATATGGGAGATCATATGTTTACATGATATCTATTTCTGAATGACCCGCTTTTTCCGCTTACTTTCAATAAATGGTCCGTGTGAGCTGAGGAACGAGCTTTGCTGTTCATGTTTGAGTATACACAGTGCACGTAAAAAGTGAAAAGAAAATCCAGTTATCCAAGATTTGCTCCATTTAAAACCTCTCATAGGAACAAAATCCACAGGGGAATAAATGAGAGCAGTTCCAGCAGAGTCGTCTTGTAGCTTCAAATAAATCTCTCCTCAGGATGAAACTAAACCATCTGAGCAAAGATGTTCTTGTAAAACATGTTGAATAAGGTCAAGCTCAAATAAACATTTAATAGAGCTTTACCATTTAAGGTGCTGGTTATTCTGCTTCCTATCAGATTCTTCATGTACTGCAATCAGTCAATGTTATCAGCACGGGCCAACAGCAACAACAGACTAACACAAGCTTATTAATGAACAATGTGGAACAGCACAGGAAAATTCATCTCATGTTCTGGCTCATACACTATAGCGAGGCAGACTGAAGTAATAAGAGGTTTGCACCATCTACTGGCAGTAAACAAGCTAACAGATGCCCACCGTCACAGTAAATATAAGTGCTTTGTCAAAACTGATTGAAAATGAGGTTTAAAGGACAGAAGTTTAGTCTGTTCAACATGTCAAGTTGCAAGTTTTCATTGCTTTGTTCAAAAGTTGTTTTTTTTTTTACTACTTTTATTCAACAACACATTGTTTCTCAGCATATTAGAATGATTTCTGAAGGATTATGTGACACTGAAGACTGGAGTAATGATGCTGAAAATTCAGCAGTTAGTTCATTTCTCACATTTACTTAAGAACGTTTAATTTAACACTTCATTTAGTCATTTTGAGCAGAGAGACACACAGAGGAGATGATGTAGAACAGGAGTACGAGACCTGATGGAGGCACTGTGGCAGAAGAGGGTGGTCTCCCTGCTCCCCCAGCTCCTGGAGAGACGCCACCAGGGAGCGAGCGAAGCCCTGGGGTGATCCAGCATCACCGTGAGGCGTCCCTTCAGGGCTCACAAGCCCCTCTGACACTGAAAAGACAAATATGACATCCTCTTTGATAAGTGTTGACACTGAAAATGTGCTAGAGTAACACTAACTGTTTGGTATTTTAGCATAATTATTACCAATAGACTTACATTTATGTGGTTCGGTGTTATTTTAGTATAGTTTATACACTTTTAGTTTTTTATATTTTAAGTTTTAATCTTAATTTTAGGTAAATTTTTTGTATTTTTGTTTAATTATTTTTTTATTTCAGTTTTAGTTATTTTAATTTTATTCTACTTATTTTCCATTTATTTATTTATTTACTTACTATTTAATTGCTTGCTTCAACTGATTTCATTTAGTTGCCAAGGGAACATTTCTAATTTTCGTTTAGCTTATCCATCTAATACTTATATTTTATCATATTTGTGACCCTGGACCACAAAACCAGTCATAAGGGTAAATTTTTAGAAATTGAGATGTATATATCATCTGAAAGCTGAATAAATAAGTTTTCCACTGATGTATGGTTTGTTAGGATAGGACACTATTTGGCCGAGATACAACTATTTGAGAATCTGGAATCTGAGGGTGCAAAAAAATAAAAATACTGAGAAAATCGCCTTTAAATTTGTCCAAATGAATTCTTAGCAATGCATATTACTAATCAAAAATTAAGTTTTGATATATTTACAGTAGGAAATTTACAAAATATCTTAATGGAACATGATCTTTACTTAATATCCTAATGATTTTTGGCATAAAAGAAAAATCAATAATTTTGACCCACACAATGTTTTTTTGGCTATTGCTACAAATATACCCCAGCGACTTAAGACTGGTTTTGTGGTCCAGGGTCACATTTCAGTTTATTTCAATTAACAAAACAGTTTTTAATAGTCTTAGATAACGGTAATAACCCTGATGTGGTTATCCAAGACACATCTAGATGTCTAAATGCTCCAAAAATTTAATTGAGAGGTTACACCCAGTGTTTGTACATCAACACAGATATATCTCGCTCTATAGGTTGGCCCTTATTATTCATGCCACTCAAACCTGTCTAAAAGTTGCGCGACAACAATGGGACGAAGTCACTCGTTCAACAGCAGAAACCGAAACAAAAGTCTAGCACTATTACTCAGGGTATCTGAATCCTCGCAGACAATAGAAACGCTTCTCCACCCTCAGCCTGATCAAGTGAATGACATAAATCTGTCCGTGTCATTCAGGATGACACAGTTTGGACTGGGCTGTGCCAATTCAATGTCCAAGGAATATTCAATATTAGTCATTTTTATTTTTGTATGCAAGTGCTCCCTGAGTGTACCAAGCTATAGAATGAATCAGATTTTATATTATTAGCATACATCTGATTCATTCTAGCACAGCACTGTTAACTTTGACAGAAAAAAATCCTCTTGATTGGCATATAAAGCCACTAAGCATCATTTTGTTATGTATTTATGGAATATATGTGTACTCAAGAATATCTCATTGATTTATTACTAGCCTAATTCTCAGAATATCTTGTAACGATTCTGAGAATTAGGCTAGTTTTTAGAAAATGTTGAAAGATCATGTGACACTATACTAAATGATACTTGGTTTCAACCAACCACTAAACCACACACACACAGAGGATTATGGGATATGGGCAATGAAGGCTACATCTATGCTGAGCTTCAGGTTGTTTTTCAAACTGTGGTCTGTAAGTTGTCTGTTACCTGTGGGACTGGGGCTGGGTGTTGGTGAGTCTCGGATGTGTCCATCCAGCTCTGGAGAGTATGCGCCACTGTTAATATCCACCTCTTCCTCCTCCTCGTCTTCCTCGTCCTCTACTTTGGAGCTATCATAATCTTCGTCATCACCGTTGTTATTAGTATTATCCTGTCGGAGGGGCCTCTGTCCACCACGGGGCCCCTGTTCGACCTCCTCCGCTTCCTCCACCAGTCGGTCCTGGTTTTCGTCTGGGCTGCGGCTGGAGTCAGAGTCATTTAGGAGGTCAGGGTCGGTTACTCCTCCCCGCCTCACTGGGCCGTCGCTCTGCCACTGTCCGTCGTCCATGAGATCCCGCTGACAGAGAGCATGAAGATCCGCTCGAACCCCTGCAGGCCTCTCAGCCACTCAACGGCGCTCCTGCCCGGCCGCTGGAGAGCAGATCAGAGGGACACTTTAATGGCCGTGAGCCATCATGGAAAGTATAAGAGAACTGACTCATAGTTTACCCATAATTCCACTTCGGGTTGGCTGAATGCAGTGCATGAATCAAAACACTTGAGATTTGTCCATTTGTCTGTTTTGTTTTGCATTTGTTTACAGCTGTATTAATCAGAGGCCAAATGCAAAATAGGTTTTTGCTAATGTTTTTGTTCATCTCTACAGTTTTGGTATCATTTCACACGATACCATTAGAGATAATATTTCAAAAAGGAATTTAGAAAATTGGTTTTAATAAACATCATAAATATATATTTTTTATTTTTTAAATTCTATTTATAAAATGTTCATAATATTATTTTTCCCCCAAATATTCACTTTAAAAGAACCACCACTGTACTGTGACCAAGGTTACATTACATTTAAAATGTTTAATGCAATAAGAAGTGAAATACTGTAATAGTAGAAATAAATAATCAAGGATTTTTATCTAAATAAAAGGAAGAATGATTTTAAATGGTTCATTTACCAATATAACAATACTTATGTAAGGATGAAAGAAACTCAGATACTTTGATCTCCTGAGAAACAGACAATACAACATACACGGGCATCTTCGAGACACCCCACAGAGTGGAGGTGCAGGAAACGACTCTCTCACATATGCATCAGTTCCTTCTCATCCCCTTCCTTCCCTTTACCCATCCTCCCTCCACTTGGTTCACTCAGAATGGTCAATAGTATAATGTTCTACATGAATGCAAATAATATTTACAGTCATGTTTGGTATCATTTGAATAGGGCGAGTGGTACAATGGTCTCAATCTTACAAAAGTAGACTAAAAGATAATACAGATCCTAAGAGTTAAGCGATATTTTGATTACTGTAGAGGGTGTGTCATTCCATGCAAATTACCTTCTGTTCCCATTGAGGCGTAAACCACCCAGGTCTGAATGCAAATTCCAATTGTTTGTACATGCCTCCATTTGGGGGATGTTTTATCTTGGTTTTGTATTTAAAGGATTGCAGCAAAAGGGTCGGGGTGATTCTGCAGCCAGAATGAGCCAATAGTATGAAGGGTGTCCACACACTTCATACTATGTATTTTTCTAAATGTCAGGTATGCATCTTACTCTTAGATTCATCTTTGAGAATTTGATGTTTTGTATTGATTTGATATCTTTGAATTGGCTATGTAATTGGCATAATACATATTTACCTGACTGATAATAAATTGGTACATTTGATTTTTATTCTGACCTACTCTGAAATTATTTTCTTAAGTAGATTAAGTGAAGGCGTATGTTACCGTGTCCCAAAATGTTACCGTGTCCAGGGTTAGTACATACTGAATCTCAGGTTAGATGGAGCATGGGGCACATCAGGTGAGATTATAGATTACTGATTAACTGCTTGACTTTAGTTAAGTTGTTATGCAGTTGCATTAACTATGGGGGGTAGACAAAATACTGTTGGAGTACTAGCATGGTTCGGGCATATTTCATAGTACTAGCCATAACCTCTGGTTATTGTCTCAGCTTTATTCAAGTTGTTATGTGGTTAGAATAACTATAGGGGGCTAGGTAAAAACACTACTGAAGTATAAGCATATTTCATAGTGCTAGCCATAACCTCTGATTATTGTCTAAGCTTTATTCAAGTTGTTATATAGTTAGACTAACTATAGGGGGCTAGATAAAACACTATGGAAGTATCTGCATATTTCATAGTGCTAGCCATAACCTCTGATTATGTTTGAGCTTTAACTACGTTGTTACATAGGTGACTGTAGGGGCATGAGGCGGTCTATTAAATAGTTAGCCATAACCTCTGACTAATCATCAGACTGGAGAGTTTGTGATCGTGGGGTACACGTACATCGGCCGGCGTGATACACCCTAAGCGACATAGATTCCTAATGAACGAGTACATATAAAGTAAAGAGTTAACTAGAATAATCAAATGTCAGAATAATACTAATTAGAGGCAGACAAACAACCAATCTGCCTTCCAACCTAAATTCGAGGTCATAATAAAATGGAGTCAGATTACAATTTAACTTAAATTGAAAAACTTTGTGTGCTGAAAAGACCGAACACGTAAGAAACCTTCAGCCACCACTGGATACATTCCTTGGGCTAAGTACGTGGACCTTACACTAATAAGCAGCAGCAATATTATCTTATTAATTTTAACATATGGAAAATGCAGAGACTTCTGTAAACATTTCTGAGTGATGAAACAAATGAACCACTGAAATGAATCTTTATTCACTGAAAATAGTTTGAATGGATTCAGCCTTTTTCATACAAATATGCATAACATATAAAAACAAAAACAAAAGGTTAACATTTGGGTTGTGACTAAAAAGAACAGAAACAACAACTAAACAGAAACAGCAAGACAACAGAAAATAGTGTAAAATTGCATACCATGGTCTAAAGAATAAATATTAGATGAATTCATCAACACACATATTTCAGCACCAACCTGCAGTCCTGTGTCCCTTTAGTCTCCCGTAAATAAACTGAACTAGGAAATGCTCTGAAGACTATATGCTCTCTCTCTATCACTGACTGTTTGGTTCCTCTGAATAGTGAATTCACACACCATGGAGATTTTCCATAATAGTCCCCATTGGGTTGTTATAGAAGAAAGAGCACCATGCTTATTAACACACCGTCTCATGACAGAACTTATGCAATAACATACAGCATCTTACAGATCTTAAAGCAGACTGGCTGTTTGTTTTTCACCTGCTCAGGGGGATTCTGGAGCTGCGGAATGAATGAATGAACACTACGATGCTTGCTTATAGGTCACTGCATATGATGATAACGCTTAGGGCAGTTCAGTGTGCATTAAGTGAACAAACTGAGCTGAATCCAGTGTTATTCTAAACTAAAACTATAAAATATAATTTATTTTAATTGAAAGCTGGAAAATACTAGGTGTAAAAAAATTAACCTTTAAAAACCGAAGTAAATATAAATGAAAGATAAATAGAAATATGTACAAAAAAATAATAAAACTACTAAATCTAAAGTTAAAACGAAATAAATACTACTGATTTTTTTTTTTTTAAGTTTTAAAAAGTTCAGTTTGAAAAAATTACACAGTAGGCTATATGTAAAAAATACTAAAACATCACTGGCTAATTCTTAGAGGTAATAATTAAAGATTTTAAGATATATGGAATTGGCTGATAAATACATTTAAGTACATTTCAATTCCAAAAATAATTTCAATTTCTGTTTTCGTTCTGCTTTTAACAATCTTTTCCTTTCTACATAGATCAAAGACAGAAAATAAAGTTAATGTTATGAGCTGGCCTCAAACTAATGTAATGTAACAAATGCAATATGAGTCAATAATTTTAGTCCCTTTTTAGGAGTACACTAGCTCAAATATAGATGACTTAAAAGTTAATAGACATGGACTAAAAACCATAAACACAGTACCATTGTATTAGCATACATTTATTATTTATATTTGTTATTTGTTTTTAATTTATTTTTTTTAGTGTAGTATTTTCACTTCTTTTGCATATTTTATGATTATTTTTAAAACCTTTTTATGTAAAGCACTTTCATTTTCCATTGTGTATAAAATGTACCACAGCCTTAATTAAATTTGCCTTGCATATATACAACAGATAGATTCTAGATGGTTCTAGAAGTGCGGACTGACTCACGGTGGACCACAGGCGTTCATTCGCTTTTCTGACAACATAGTGACTCAGTGAGCCGGGGACCATTGGATCTGTGCCTGTGGTGTGACCACCTACGCACATCCAGACCACATCAACAAGAAGGGCCAGGTAACCCACTCACTACTGCTTCACACATGTGGGTTTCCTATCAGTTCTTAGTGACTAGAAGTGATAATAAATAGCCATTGTCTGGGCCTCGTGATCGATTTAAGATGTAATTCAAAAACCAAATGTAAAAAAACACTTTAAAGGGCACAGCCAGAATAACATGAGGTCAGTCACATTATGGCAAGGAGAAATGTGGGTATGCGAGCTGCCATGTTCGTTCATCCGCTTTCTTTTAAGAGGGAACTCATTAATAATCAAAGACAGCTGCACTCTCTCATTAGCTCCTTTAACAACATTAAAGCCTGAGGGGTGAATGAGAGAGAGAGAAGAGAAATAGGTTTATTCATCCTGAAAAACAAGCATGACTGGAGTAGCTAGACACAAATGTGTCCCACACGCACATAGCGTTCTTCAAAACCATCTGTGAAAGTAACATCAATCCTCTATTCTGACTTAAAATAATGTTAGATAATTATTTGATAGAAAGGTATGTAATGGATTACAATCAACCAAAAATTATTTAGACATCTGTTAGTATGGCAGCATTTACAAAACAATCAATACTTAGTCGGACAACCCTTAGCCTTAATGACAGCCTGTAGTCTCCTGGGCATGCTGTCACCCAGCTTCATGCAAACCTGAACTTACATTTTTTTCCCAGACTGGTCTGAATAATTTTTGGTTAATAATTTGGAATAATTTTCCCAAATTTGTATCAGTTTTACCGGTAGTCCACTGTATGAAGAATTTTGGGTATAATTTGTCACACTTTACTGTATTTTGCTATCCTCACTTACATAAATGAACTATAGTGTCCTGCACCCACTAAAAAAATATCAAAAATTATATCTGAATAATTTTTGGTTTGACTGTATATCCTTCGGTTATTTTCACACTTAATTATGCCCATTCAAATATATGTTACAAGTTTTTGTTACTTTCTCTGTTCACTTTTTGCTCTATGGTACATCATCTTTAATTTAATAGCATTAGAGCTGCTCCATTGCAGCGGCTTAGTACTCTAATCACACGCTTTGCTGTAATAATGCAGGGAACCACTCATTATAAATCTCCTAACTGTGATATTTTCAGAAATAGAAGTTGCGTTTTTTTTTTCATTTGAAACGTGCTGCGATTTATATTCCAAAGCCACTCATATAATGCAGAAACACTCAAGCAAGCAAAACACGCGCGACGCGTGCACGTATTTTGTACTGCTGTGGAACGAGAGGGACAATTAGTACAGCCTAGCGCATTTCACAAAGGCTGCTATATTCATTTTCGCCAGAAAGTCGTGTATGCCTTAAGCCTCGTACACCTCGTATTATCGCGCGCGCTTATCGCCGACGTTTTTCGATGCGTCTTTTGTGTTCATACCCAAGCGATTTTCGCAGGCGATGAGCCGAGTGAACGTGCAAATTCACTCCCTGACATTAGATGGTGCTTAATGAAAAACAGAAATACCCCGGTACACATCGAATCCTATTTGATCTGCAATTCCTCTCCATAACAACTCCCTCTTATCGAGATTTTTGTAGTCGCTGTCACGTTTGTCATAAAGCCCTTTGTGTTCAGACACCAATGAGACCAGCAGCTCTACATTCTTCACAGCTCTGCAACTTCTTGGTCTACTTACTTCCTCTTTGTCGTTAGGTATCAATATGTGCTCGGCAAGACCGTTTTGTGCTTGAGCTCCACCAAATCGTGTTTTACTGTAATTTCAGCAGCTCCAGGCACGCGAACAAAAGCACCAATCTCATTGGTCGGCCAGTTTTTAACTCGGCGCGTCAAACCAAAAGAACGAGCCCGAGGCGGTTTTTTTTTAAAATGTATGAAGGTAGAATGACGTCAAAAAGATTTGCATACGCAGGGTAAGAGTTGTGGAAGTGTACATAAGACTGTAAGCGTAAATTAAATTTGCATGCGCAAGAGAAGCTTTGTAAAGGTGTAAATCGCGTTTCAAGCGCAAGAAAAAATTATTTGCAGCATTTTACTGTTACTCGTAAGTGTAATTCATGTATTGTGAAACTGCAGCTTCATGCTAACGCAAAATAAATATGATCTGCATGCTTCTGACTTCCATTTTTCCGCGCTTACGCTTTTGGCACGTTTTTTTCGCCAAAAGACGGTCAAAAGCACTGCAAGCCTGTGAACAGTGATTTGCAAGCGAAAACAACAGTTTAAAGAACTGCAAAACGGATTGACTGCATAGAACCAATCTGTATGTGTAAAAAAAATAACTGTTGCAAATGTCTAAATGACTTGTTGT